TCAGAGTAGCTGTTTAGAGATTAAGGTCCTGCAGGTAGGACCAACAACACTGATAACATGATATCGCTGTAATCTTATTAAGGGGACGTAAGTTATGCGTGAATAACAATGACTTGAAGATAAATGTGATTAATAGTGCTAAAATCAAATAGAACATTCTTCATATAAATCTCTAGTTCATGAGGATATTCTAAAGATGAGCTTTCGAAGTAGGAGTGAAAGCTGTCAAAGAACTCAGATAACCAAATACTTAAATTCAGCAAAATTATTCTGTAGCTTGAAGGTTTTTGGCACTGGTTCTGTGGATAGCCATCAAGACCGAGTAAGGCTGCTTTCAAAAATCTGTTAAAGAATATACTATTTTATTGCATACTTTATATTTGAGATAAAACTTGGATGGCGGTTTTGCCTAGCATGCATTCAAAAGCATTAAAACCTAATCCTAGATTCGACGTGGGTAGAATATCTGTCCGTTCTTAAAAGATCCGTTGCGCAGTGGTTCCGGCCTTTAATGCCGTGGTGAATGAAGAAAGCTTGTTCCCTTTACCAATTATCCCACCCCATTTAGATAAATATAGCCAGGTCTTTCTATACCTGTAGCTAAAACGTGGTATGGGAATTAGTTTATTTGCTACTGAACTTTAATAGACATAGTGATGACTCCTATTACTAGTATAGCATCAATCTGTAAACGCGATTCTGCAAGAGTCACTGTCAATTTTCGTTCATAAGATGGTTTCCAAGACTTCCAGAAGATCATGCATATGGCATGTATTCAAATTATTCTGTTGAGGTAGTTAAATTTTCTCATAATTATATGAGTAGAACTTACGTTTCTATTGAATTTCATATAGCCTTAATTGAAGGTATAAAGACCAAGATGGTGCGGCCTTTTGTGTGGTCGCAGTCTCCTTTCGTTGTATAGAAGTTGTTTGACCTTGTTTTCGCAACATGATCATATTGGTAGGAAGACTTAGAGGAACACACCTAGCTTGGAGTCCATTGTCTGCATGAGCATTTCCAAAGTTGAACCGTGAACGTGGTATGTATGTATAGAATACGTGGTATGTACCACGTCCACAGTTCAACTTTGGAAAGGATCATGCAGACGCTGGACTCCGGACTAGGTACGTTCCTCTAAGTGTTCCTACCAATATGACCATGCTACGAAAACAAGGTCAAACAACCTCTTCATATAGCCTTGTCTCCCAAAAGGTATTCGCGTCCACGTTGGAAAGGACTGCGGTTTCGAACTCAGCTTAGTCGTTTCAGCACACCTAGCAGGACTCGGACCGTAATAGCTCGGCGTATAATCTCGACATGTTAACGCCTACATCACACTGCCACGAGCGCACTTGGGTCACAAGGCAGATGTGAATTTCAAGGAAGTTATTGATATATCAAGATTGTTCACCGAACAATCACGATTAGAGTCCCGCTATTGGTGCTGATGACCTTTAGGCGTAGTCTAAGTTGCAGTCGACTCCAGTCTGAATGATAATACCTTTTGGGAAGCAAGGCTGTGAAATTCAATAGAAGCGTAAGGTATACTTATATCATGTAGAGAAATTCATCTTCCAATCCTTCATCACCTTAACGAATAAAGTGAATACCTTTCATAAATAATCATTGTTAGCCTAAAGTAAGTAGGTATTAGAAAATGTTAGCAAACAATTCTTTATGTTTAGGGGCCTGAAAACTTAAGCATTCACAAAATATCACTCACTTTATGCTAAAAATACACACTTATTCACCGTGAAGTTTATCTTTCACTCTTGCTAGTCTACTTGATGAGCTGAGAGAACAGGTCCAGATAGCTAAAGGGAAGCAAGCTGATCACAAGGCTAAATGAGTTTTGATATTTTTAGGCCAATTATTTTCGAGCATAACATGAGATTCTTTAATGCTTTACAAGTATGGCTAGCTAGAGTAATCCGATGGCCCTGGTTTTTAGGCATATCGAGGAACAAGAGGGATAAGACAAAACCTTTTGATTCGTTATAATTCTACAAGACATACTATCTACAAATATGTTGCTTTCAACCCACTTATTTTTTAATCTAATATCACAAAGAAGCCTACGCTACGAATAGTGTTTATAATAAATAAATGTTTTAAATGCATAACTTGTTAGAGTCAATTAGAAGGTCAAGTATCCAAAAAGCCTTTAACCCATACCCCAGTGATTACTAGAGCAATCGTGTCAAGTAGAACAGAATGACAGACTAAGGAAATGAGCTAATTTACCAGTCCAGAGCGTCCTTGGTTAGTATTGTATATCCGGGCTCATACTGAGAATAATTTTATAGTAATCACAATAGGGGGTCAAAGTTTCCGGTGCATCTTGCTTAGGCATGAGAGAAAACCATTTGTTATGTCAAGTGATGGCTGTTTTAACCCAGACGAAGAGGAAATAATAATTACCTTAGCCACTAAGGCACATCTGTGTTCACATTTTCGGGATGGAGCGCCAGTAACGTCTTACCTTTGGGAAGCTAAATATGGTCATGTCAATCACAGACTACTATGTTGCCCACTCGACCACAGGCTTCGAAGTAGCAGACACTTTGCCACATAGTTCTCATGAAAATCTAATTCCACTGTGTTTCATCAAGCTGGCCAACTTCGCAGAGGACACAACGACTCTATATA